TAAACAACAAACAAACAAACGAAACATTAACTTCGGGTGTTTCCGGAACAACGTAAGCCATGAATCGTCTTTTTCCTTTCTGACTCTTTGAAAGAAATATATTTTTATAGGAATTGTCGATATGTCAATACTCATCTTAGATAAAGATGATAGTTGAATAAAGATAAACATTTGCTTGGAATGGCTAGTAATTAATTCGATATATTTTTATTATGTCAACGCTTACGTATATTGAAGAGTTTGCGAAATTGTTTTGCGCCGTTTTTAAGCAATATTCAAGCAATATCACAGCAGGGGATACCAGAAATGGACTTCACACATTGTATCCATATAGGAATCGAACCCGGGTCTTCTTCGTGACGAGCGAACGCTTTAACCACCCGCCATCCCGTCTACTTAACTGAAAGAGGTAGATTTGAAACTGTTCCAAGAGGCCCTGGACCTTGAGAAATATGCGTTGTGGATACGTAATGAATATCATATTACTGTGTTGGCCATATGATATTCAATCGTTATTGGTGATAAGTAATTTTAATATCTTTGCCTATGTAAGGTTAATGTCTGTGGCTTAGTGCCTCCGAAAGACTCATTCTTTTCCTGTCCATAATGTTAAAATATTCTAAGCACGTCAACTGAATAGACACAAATGCATATGTGAATACAGTAAACTACGGTTATAACGAACTCAAAGGGACTACTAATTTTAGTTCGTTATAACCGTAGTTCGTTATAAGCATATATACAGCATAACTACAGCAATTAGTCGGGACCAAAAAGTAAGTTCGTTATATCCGTCAGTTCGTTATAAGCCTCGTTATAACCGTAGTTTACTGTAAATCAGTACCGTATCTCCTAGATTAAACTACTGTGTGAGTACAACACAGTGTCCCCGCTAAACAGAAAGATTTTAGAGAACTTTCAAACTACGGTGGGAGATGGGCCTGAGCGGATCATTCGTCGGACATTAAAACCATTAACACCGGCGGTAAAGAGTGTCTGAAAGAAATATATACGTGGGCGTTTTATCGAGGAAATACGGTATGTCATTACTTACTCGTATACGCATAACTGATGGGGCTCTCTCGCATGTGTGTCAAGTCATCGATGTTTGGGAAATGTACATACCTCCCCACCCATTCTTGTCGTCACTGAACTCGAAAATATTTGCAAGGGAGTTATTGAAAGTAAAAGTACATGTGTATTAACTCTAGACACCTTCTTGTCTAAAAAGGGGCGGTCGGGTAGCCTAGTGGTTAAAGCGTTCGCTCGTCACGCCGAAGACCCGGGTTCGATTCCCGACATGGGTACAATGTGTGAAGCCCATTTCTGGTGTCCTCCGCCGTGATATTGCTGGAATATTGCTAAAAGCGGCGTAAAACCATACTCACTCACTCACTCACTCTTGTCTAAAAACCATTACAAACCGAACTTCAAATATTGCTTTATTATTCATGGACTGTATATCATGCATTATTTGTGTAATGAAGTAATGATAATCAGAAGCGCATGACGTCATACCATACTTATTTTCCATAATTAGTTTCCGCTGTATATTGTTTGACGAACGCACACTAGATATGTTGAAACGCGTTCACTCGCTCTTAACAAAAACTGCATATTTATGACAAACGATGTTATACAGTCACGGATTATGATAATGAAATAGACTTAGACTAGAATGATGCAGTAATTACTTGTAAGAGACCTATTAAACTGAACAATCAGTACGTGCTATATTGAGATAGCAGTTATATATATTCATGACAGTGCGTAGGGTTTGACGCCGTGTGCAACAGCATTCCAGATACACCACTGCATAAAGCCCGAAGTGATGCGGCTCTCAGACGTTCATCACTTTAGTGTAACCCGCGAACCCGGGAATGATGAAGACAAATATAGAAACAGTCGGAGCGAACTGGGATTCAAACCCACAATGATTCGTGACATTTGGTGATTCAGAAAATGAAACCTCATTAAAATTGTTGTTTTTTTAACTCTCCTATACATTACCTCCCTGCGTGAAGATCTGGAACACATCCATGGAACTCCTAAACGATAACTCCCTGCGTGAAGATCTGGAACACATCCATGGAACTCCTAAACGATAACTCCCTGCGTAAAGATCTGGAACACTTCCATGGAACTCCTATACAATAACTCCCTGCGTAAAGATCTGGAACACCTCCATAGAGGTCCTATACAATAACTCCCTGCGTAAAGATCTGGAACACCTCCATGGAACTCCTATACGATAACCCCCTGCGTGAAGATCTGGAACACATCCATGGAACTCCTATACAATAACTCACTGCGTAAAGATCTGGAACACCTCCATGGAACTCCTATACAATAACTCCCTGCGTAAAGATCTGGAACACCTCCATGGAGCTCCTATACAATAACTCCCTGCGTGAAGATCTGGAACACCTCCATAGAACTCCTATACAATAACTCCCTGCGTAAAGATCTGGAACACCTCCATGCAATTCCTATACAATAACTCCCTGCGTAAAGATCTGGAACACCTCCATGGAACTTCTATACGATAACTCCCTGCGTGAAGATCTGGAACACCTCCATGGAACTCCTATACGATAACTCCCTGCGTAAAGATAGGGAACACCTCCATAGAAATTCGCGTGAGGTGAACCCTAGGTGAACATTTACTATCCAATCAAAATGAAGGAAGCTCAGGTTCTTGAGCCAATCAGATGTTAGCTTTCTTAAACGATTATGCGTCATTTAGTTACCACATCGATTCGGAAATTTCAATTTTAACAAAGAAAAGCCGCACAGTACACACATACTCCTTCGAAGATACCCTCTTTTCGGTGTAGGTGCCATGGCGCTCAGAAACGACAGGGTGCATCAAATGTCCAAACCTATATTAAAGCGTCCCGATCGATTGACTTCAATTTCGAGATACAGAAATCAGACAAGCTGATCTGAATGCTTGGCTATCTCGTTAATTTACAAGCCCCGACGAAGGCTTACTTACCGTATTTTCATAATTTTGCATCGGCTTTTTTTCGTGTAAAAATAATATCGATAATAAAAACTCTTAGAATGCTTCTTCAAAGTGGATGACGGCACTTGGAGCCACCTACTCTCGGAGTTACCTTGAAGTCCGCCATCTTGGATACTCTGTGTGGGAGCGAAGGCAGTCATTGCGTCCGGTCACTGTACCCATGGCCCCATAGCGATCGTAGCGCTAAGACTGTCGTAAGTCTATGTTAAAGTATGGGAGTTACGATCGCCTTAGCGATGCGATCGCTTTGTGGAACGGGGCCCAGAGGCTCAGGATGCGTATAGTGAGAGTAGTATGGGGTTTCTTCATACTTCGGACCCCCTCAGTGGTGTAGTTGTTGAACCTCCGCCCTGAGAGCGGAAAGTCCGGGGTTCGATCCCTGGCCGCGTCATAACAAAAGACCTGTTGTTACCCTGTCTGAAGCTCGGCACTAATGGTGGCTCGGAGTCAGTATACTGTGTCTGAGTGGGATATTCATGTAAAACTGAGGCATGGTTTTCAGTGAGCCAGCACTATAAATCGGCATCAGTCCGGACTAGTACAAGCAGCCACACACACACACACACACACACATGCACGTCGCTATATAAGTGCAATAATCTTGGACGCGACGTTGAACCCCATTTCACCTCACCCCCAACCTCTTCATACTTCGAGTAAACAGGAGCGTGGCCCCAAAATGTCACGTGGCACATCAAATTTACTAATATAAATTGGAAACCTCCTGAAGAATTAATTGTAAAAATGTGCCCCCTCTACCCAGTCAGTTTTTGGTAATTTATCAAAATTCATTGTTCCAAGGACTGCTTCACAAATTCCATATATGGTTCAGTTTGCGTTTTAAAATAATACAAAACTACTCCTAGTCCCTCGCTTGTTAACTTCAACTAACATGAGGCTAGGGTGGTCTCAGTGTGGCCTGTCTGTGTGCCATCGTACATCAGTGGAGTTAGTGGACCATGCTATAAACCACTGGTTGATGCATGTCACCGTATCACAATGGCGGAGATCGGTGACGCTTAAGACGTCAATCACTGGATTGCCTGGTCAAGACTCGATTATTTATAGACAGCTAGAATATATCTGAGTGCGTCGTTAAAAAACAAACAAACAAATTATAAAATCGTCTTGTGATTTGTTTGAATCATAACTCGTCCACCCGTGAAGATCCGGTTAGAATTTGTCTTCAGCAACTCATGCTTGTCGTAAGAGGCGACTATGCTTGTCGTAAGAGGCGACTCACGGGATCGGGTGGTCGGCTCGCTGACTTGGTTGATGCATGTCATCGTATCCGAATTGCGAAGATCAAAGCTCATGATGTCAATCATTTGATTATTTTTTTGATAGGCATTACGTAGAAGTTGACGGTAAAAGGATCTATACCGAAACGTCGCCTTTACAGTATTAAAGAAGTTGTTATCCATAAATTGTGTCTACTTTGTTATCATTGGATTGCCTGGTTCAGACTCGATTATTTACAGACCGCTGTCATATACCTGGAATATTGCTAAGTGCGGCGTTAAACAACAAACAAACTAAACAGACCGCCGTCATATAGCTGGAATATTGCTGAGTGCGGCGTTAAACAACAAACAAACAAAAAAACAAACAAACTCGTCATAGAATATACCAAACCGCCTGGCATGTAGCCGTTCTATACAAACCCATACACGTCGGCTCTCCGTGAGGTAAAGACACAATGACGTCATAGTGTTTTATGTCACAGCGCTTGCTGGCCGCGTCACACCTGTACCCGTTGTACCCCGAGCTGTCATATACGTTATGCGCTGGCTGTCCCACCGACGGCCACATTAAACCAAAAATAACGCAACTAGTAATGATAAATCCATCACATGTGTCAGTAGTTGTACGGCAGGTGTAGGGGATTTTACGAGCAAAGCGATGTATACTTCAAATCCCGAACACCCAGCTAATGACCCATGCAACTCACACGTGCTACTCCGCACGTAAGCATTTGAAGCTGAATCGACAAGCCGCCTAAACTGTATCTAGAACGTGATCGGATTGTGACTACAAAGCCTGCGTTCGTATTGATCCAAATGCGCCGAGCAAGGTGCCCGCTATTTCTGAGATCACACATCCGTATCCTGTTTTAGGGCACATGTTACTGAGGCAGCAGCCCCAAACGTGTTTTAAATCAGTTGTGGCGTCTTCAATAGGTTCCGGTGCAAAGGAACATCTCTTGCGTTATGCGTAAATCATTTGATGAGACTGGGTCAGATTAAGAACAGGCTTGCAAGATATTCGCGGAAAGAACGGGAGATGGTGATTTGCCTCGACGGCTAACCTGTAAACACAACGTAATATCATCCACAGACTGCGCGAAGTGTTTTTCCACATCGGCTCCACACTCGGACCGCAGTTCACAGACAACTGGAGGACGCTCTGTTTGTGTGAATGTTTAGATTCCACCCCACTAGGCACACTTATTCACACTGGAATACTGGCCCAAGGCCGTGAATATATGCTATATCTCGTCCTTTGAATTATTCCAGCGATTTAGCGGTTAGGCCCAGCTATGTGCATGAATATGTAGAGGTGACTAGCAACACGAGGTGGGCCGCTACTGTAGCTATGTCAAGGTGACGAGAATGGGTAGCCACATAATTATTCTCTTCTCAGCTGTTCTTGTCGAAATAGTGAGTATTATTTTGTTATCATTTATCTCAGACAGAGTTCATAACATTTGCAGATATGAACTTTTTGCTTGTGTGTTTGTTTTGTTTGTTTGTTTGTTGTTTAACACCGCACTCAGCTCCATGAGTATGGCGGTCTGTAAACAATCGAGTCTGGACCAGGCAATCCAGTGGTCGATATCGTGAGCATCGTTCCACGCAATTTGGATACGATGACATGCATCAACCATGCAAGTCAGTGAGTCTGACCACCCGATCCCGTTTGTCGCCTCTTACGACAAGCATGGGTTGCTGAAGACCTATTCTCACCGGGATCTTCAAGGGACATAGAGTTTTTGAAAACGAGGATGCCATTTGTAATCACAAGCTTTCATGCTTACATTGAGGTCGTGTTGTTGTTGTTGTTGTTGTTGTTGTTGTTGACAGATGCGCGAGTATTCCATTAAAACGAATGTATTAAGGTTTTTTATCATTTGGGTCTATAATAGTATTTATAAGGAAGATAATTTATAGATATCAACTTCTTTATTAAGAGGAACACAGCGTTTCGGGGTATATGCTTACTCCTTCATCAGGTGAATAAAGGAGTTGACATCCTTATGTGCATCACTTCTAAATGCCTTTTAAATAGAATTTATATTTTTAAATAATAGTGCACAGGCAGTTGCTCTGGGTCCGTGTATAATATTTTTTTAAAGAGAAAGATTTCAAATCATTTCTCAAACTGTTAATTAGTCGTTAATGATTGTAAAGGTTTATTACATCTATGATTGAACGTTTAACCTATGAATGCATCCATATAAGCGTTAGGTATTTATCCCTCTGTTGATTTAAGAGGAAGCGAGAACTACCATGTGTACCAGCTGTTCAGCATACACTTAAATAAAGGCACTAACCTACGACATCCTGTTACCGTAAATGATACACTGTGAGAGCTGGGGAAATATGACCAATGTAACCCCATTGTAGTGTGTGTGTGTGTGTGTGTGTGTGTGTGTGTGTGTGTGTGTGTGTGTGTGTGTGTGTTTGTGTGTGTGTGCGTGCGTGCGTGCGTGCGTGTGTGTGTGTGCAAGAGTTTGGTTAACGCCGCTTTTACCAGTACTCCAGTTATATCACGGCGTGTCAGCTTCATGTGGGAAAAAAACAACAAAGTGATTCAGGTGTCGGACGTTTATTTTTTAGAGATCCACGAGCACGGGTATGGTGCTGACAAACCTAGAAACATAAACCGGGAAACGAACCTACGGTCATGGGTTTCTGGCGTGCCCAAGGGATGCAACTCTGCACAGAGAATTGCGGTGCCTCGGATGACTGGGAAACCCGTGTCCCTATCCCCAGTGTAGGAACCAGTTGTAAACCCCGATTATAAACATATCACCGCGTTACCCCATTTAATATTGCATTAGGTTCCTGACAACCTCGGGTAAACCTAGTAACAAGCTCATCTTCCAAAGCTAGGTTTTGAAGCGGTTTAATTCCCAACATAGGTTCTGAAAGGGATCATTTCTAAACCTGCTTTGAGGTTTGACATTTCAATTGTAACACCAAGGTTTAACGAATTGGCCTGAACGCAATATTATTTTCTTTATTGGTTTAAAGAAACATTTTTTTTACATGAAAATGCCATGACGTGAATCGAATCTTTAACCTCACTCATCGTTTTAAGTTCTGTAACCCACTGAGCCACCGAGGCAGGTGATGAGAAGTTGTTTAATTTTACCTGTCATGACTCCAGCTGGTCCATGCTGCACGTGATTTTTACTCTCGCACGCTTTGATCGAATTGTTTTTATACCGCGACATGCTGTATTGTTTCACTATAAGGTATATCTCTGTTTTCACATTTTTTAATTGTATTTCTGGCATTTAGACGGTTCATAAGTTGGATAAAACACACCTCCTTGGTTTTGGTTAAAAATATAAAACCTTGACCCTTGAGCTTTTCCCTCACTCGCGGTTTTACATTTTCAACTTAAACCTCGGAGACGTGTTTTAACCCACACGTAAACGTGAGTGCGGGTGGCCGTTTCTTTGTGTGTCCTGACCGTGTACGCGATGACAGGAGATCGTTGCTCATGCTGTTAACCTCTTGTTCACCTGGCCCAAACTCGATTACTTACAAGTGCTCCAGATAAGCCACGCATCTGCGTAAGATACGCAAAATATATACCACTACCCAATTATGTTTGCTAATCTTGAAACTTAACTGTATAACTGGTTGTTTGTTGTTAAACGAAGCACGCATCAATATTAGTACGGCGGTCTGTCAATTATTGAGTCTGGAGCAGACAATCCAGTGATTGATATCATAAGAATCGATCCACGCAATTGCATCAACCCAGTTTGCGAACCTGACCAACCGATCCCGTTAGTTGCCGCTTACCACAAGCATAGTCGCCTTTTACTACACGGATGGGTTGCTAAATACCTATTTTAACCCGGATGTTCAGGTGCAGCTGTGTAAAACAATCCAGTGCCTACTCACCACAGCCTTCTCGATATTCGATTCCGGTGCTAAATATAACATTTGAAACCCCACGCTGCGGGTTCGGTTCCAAATTCAATTTAGCGCCGTTAATCCTCAGGTGACCTAGCTCTGCATTGAAAACACAGTATATTTATGACCTGGTTGACATTCATTTTGTGTGAGCTCATCTGATATATTGAGTTCAGCCGCGCGGGTTGTCGATCTGAACAAGGGATATTGAGGTTTATACATATGTTGTGGTATGAAGACTGTCACTGTCAGTCTAGGCATGAGGATACCAACCTCCTCCCTTGAATCCCCAAAACAATATTTCGCTCATCCCTGTATCCTGAATACTACTTAACACAACTCTCAAAAACATTGAGAAAATGGCGCGATTTGAAGCATTAAATGACTTAAATGACATTTTACGTAATTCATTTTTGTTTAAATGTTGAATCTGGGTACCAAATACGATTTTATTTGTGTCCCACGCCCCACACTGCTTAGTCCCGAACACCCCCTAAATAGACATGAATCTCGTATCCCAAACATCGGTTGGCAGCCTCAGGCATGGCTCGAGTCCATGGTTCGGGTGTACATATCTTCGTTTTGTACACAAGGTCGTAGCGAGGATATTCGACCACGTGCGTGTAGTCAAACTTTGACTCCTGACAATGTATGCTGCACCACTGAGTTGAAGATTAAGAGGGTCCAACTGGTCAGAAACAACGCTTCTGGAATTTTTTACTGGTGCAAGGGATCAACGGGGTTTTTCTCAGGAATGTGGAAGAATTGTGTCGGTGTTTTCCGGTGTGGGCCGGGGATGTGTGTGCGTGCTTGCGTTCGTGCGTGCGTGCGTGCGTGCGTGCGTGCGTGCCCCACATCAACTTATTAACTTGTGATCATGGTAGGCTATGGGCGTACAAAATGTGGTAGGGTGGTGTGTGTGTGTGTGGGGGGGGGGGGGGGGGGGGGGGGGGGGCACCCTCCAGACTGAACAGGATAGACTGAAAACAAAGGGATATGCATACAATACAAATAGCCAAAGATAAATGAAATTCCCAATGAAGACGTTTGTATGTAAGTTAATGCTCAAAACCTCAATACTGTACAGTCAGTGACTTTCAGTTGGCCGTGGCAAAAGAGAGTACTGGCTAAAACCAATATTCACTCACTCACTAAAGTATATGAAGCTTCCTTATTTCGGCTCTCAGTGCCTCTATATATGTGCAGGAGCGGTTGGGTAGCCTAGTGGTTAATGTATTCGCACGGCACGCCGAAGGTCCGGGTTCGATTCCTCACATGGGTACACTGTTAATCCCATTGCTAGTGTCCTCGCTGTGATATTGCTCGAATATTGCTTAAAGAGACGTAAGTCCATGTTCACTCACTGAAAGTTCAAGCGTTTCCATCAACCGATTAAGAAAAATATGTTTTGAAAATAACAAACAAATAATTAGAAAAAACACGATATTATATATACATCTAATTGCATATTAATAACATCATACCACATGACCTACCAAACAAATTAAAAGTAATACGATAATTAGTCTTGCGTGAACATTAATATATTCTACTTTCTGCATCACCAGTTTACCAAGCAGTCCGTAATATATTGCAACCAAGATATTGTAGCTGTGAGTTGTGAATTTCCTGACTGGATGGACTTGTTCTGGATCACCTGACCCTGTCGAAGGGAATCAGGGATAGGATAGGCCCATGTTCCCTGTAAGGCCTTTGACGTGCCGAGAACAGAATACTTTCCCAGTTCCCCAAAAGGCCTTCTAGTAGTGTTCCGAGTACAGAATAGGTCCCAAGTTGCCAACAAAGCCTTTTAGTAATGTTCCGAGGACAGACTAGGTCCTCAGTCCCCCATAAGGCCTTCTAGTAATGTTCCGAGGACAGAATAGGTCCCCAGTTCCCCATAAGGCCTTCTGGTAATGTTCCGAGGACAGAATAGGTCCCCAGTTCCCCATAAGGCCTTCTAGTAGCATTCCGAGAACAGAATAGGTCCCCAGTTCCCCATAAGGCCTTCTGGTAATGTTCCGAGGACAGAATAGGTCCCCAGTTCCCGAAAGGCCTTCTAGTAATGTTCCGAGGACAGAATAGGTCCCCAGTTCCCAATAAGGCCTTCTAGTAATGTTCCGAGGACACAACAGGTCCCCAGTTCCCCAAAAGGCCTTATGGTAATGGTCCGAGGACAGAATAGGTCCCTAGTTCCCCATAAGGCCTTCTGGTAATGGTCCGAGGACAGAATAGGTCCCAAGTTCCCCATAAGGCCTTCTAGTAATGTTCCGAGGACAGAATAGGTCCCCAGTTCCCAGTACGGCCTTCTAAAATGTTCCGAGGACAGAACAGGTCCTCAGGTCCCCATACGGCTTTCCTGTGACGTGCCGAGAACAGCCAACTTCCCCATACGGCCTTCTAGTAATGTTCCGAGGACAGAACAGGTCCCCAGTTCCCTATACGACCTTACAGTGATGTGCCGAGAACAGAATACTTCCCCACTTCCCCATACGGCCTTCTGGTAA